GAAATGGCCGGAGTGGAAACAAAGCTTTAGCCGCTACCGGTTAGCTACAAAGCTAAACAAAGAAGATGGCGAAATACAAGTGAGTTCGCTGATATACGCGATGGGCAGTGAGGCGGAGAAGATATTTGGCTCGTTTGAGTTTGCAGAGGAAACTCACACAAAGAACTTTGAGAAAGTTCTGGAAAAGTTTGATGAGTACTTTATTCCATGACGTAACGTCATACACGAGTGGACATGTTTCTACCAACAGAGCCAGCAAGCTGGAGAAACGGCAGAGAAGTACATCAGGGCGCTATACAAATTGGCGGAACACTGCGAGTTTGGGGACAAAAGGGATGAACATATAAGGGACCGTCTGGTGATAGGCATAACAGATAAAGAGGTTTCCCGCCAGCTCCAGCTAAAGGCAGACCTGACACTGACTCAGGTAATTGAAAGTGTGCGCCAGGCAGAGGAGATACAGCGACACATAAATCTCCAAGCCAGCAGACCTGATACACAGCTGGCAAATGTTCAGGTTGTCAGAGGGAAAGACAGTCGGTACAAAAAAAAGACACAAAGATTGGACTGTGGTGGCCAAAGAGCCCGTTTAAAGGAGGAGTGTGGAAGGTGTGGTAAACCACAACACTCAGAGGAGAGACAGTGCCTGGCATTAAAAAGTAAGTGCAATAAATGCCACAGGAAAGGACATTGGGAAGGTAAATGTTGTACTAAGGTAGTGAGAGAAGTGGCAAGTGAGCAACCAGAACTGATACATTTTTTGGGCACAGTAAAAATGCAGAACCGGGAGGATTCTTGGACAGTAGATTTGCCCATAAACCATGTGACGGTTACCTTTAAAATTGACACGGAAGCTGACACCACAGTGATCAATAAGGGGACGTTCCAAAAGATGAGCCCGAAAATAAAGCTAGCAACCCCAGACACCCGCTTCGTCAGCCCAGGCGGCAATCTCAAATGCCTGGGCATGTTCCCGTGTAGCACACGCTATAAAGGGGAAAAACCACGCATTTAAGGTGTATGTGATCGAGGGAACAAGCTGCTTACTAGGCCGTAAGGAAGCTGTGAAAATGGGCATAGTAAAGAGAATGGATGAGGTCAGCGGAGTGTTTGGAGCTAGTGGTCTACTAAAAACTGAGCCAGTCAGAATAGCGCTACGAGAGGATGCCCAGCCATACGCAGTACATACTGCCAGGTGGATACCCCTGCCATTAGTACCTCTGGTGAAAAGGGAGCTACAGAGAATGGAGAACGAGGGCATAATCAAAAAGGTGACGCAACCAACAGAATGGTGTGCTGCAATGGTGCCGGTGCTGAAACCTAACAAGAGGGAGGACCGCATCTGCGCAGACCTTAGGAAACTTAACAGAGCGGTGAAACGAGAAAAGTATGAAATGCCCACCGTGGAGGAAATTCTACCGAGGCTCACCGGATCAAAAGTGATCACCTCACTGGACGCAGCAAGTGGATTTTACCAGATCCCTTTACAAGAAGAGAGCAGGATGCTCACTACTTTCATCACTCCATTTGGGAAGTACGCTTTCCGCCGCCTCCCTTTCAGAATTACAAGTGCCCCTGAAATTTTCCAGAGTAAAATGGCGGAGACCTTAGCCGGCTTGGAGGGGGTAGAAATTTTCATGGATGATGTTCTGATTCATGCAGAGACAGTGGAGCTACATGATAAGATGCCTCGCCAAGGTGCTCAAGGTCATTGAGGCAGCAGGCCTCAAGTTGAATAGGGCAAAATGCAGGTTTAAACAAAGACAAGTCCGTTTCCTGGGTCACATCATAGATGAAATGGGCATAAAGGCCCATCCGAGTAAAGTGACTGGGATAGAGAACATTCTGCAACCACAAAATGTGACCGAACTTAAGAGGTTATTAGGAATGGTCAATTATTTGGCTAAGTTTGTTGCGGAGCTGTCAACAGTAGCTCACCCACTTTATGAGCTACTAAAAGGGAACACAGAGTGGATGTGGGGACCGGCTCAGTGTGAAGCATTCAGGAAAGTAAAGACTGCATTAGCCACAGCTCCAGTACTCACATTCTACGATGCCAACAGGCCCACCATGGTGTCAGCTGATGCCAACAGCTACGGGCTGGGTGGCATCCTGCTGCAACTACACAAGGGCCAATGGAAGCCAGTGGCCTGCTGCTCCAGACGACTGAGCGATGCAGAGAGAAGGTACACGCAGATTGAGAAGGAATGCTTGGCCAGTGTGTGGGTTTGTGAACGTTTCAACAAATACCTATATGGACTTGATAGCTTTAGGCTAGTTACTGATCACAAACCACTGGTTCCTCTCATGAACAACAAAGACTTGGACTGTGTACCAGTCAGGTGTCAGAGGTTACTGATGAGGTTCATGCGTTTTAACACCATAGCAGAACACACACCAGGAAAGACACTAGCAGTAGCTGATGCGCTCTCTGGGGGTCCAGAGCAGTGCTATGGGGACGGGGTCTGTCATGAGAAGGTGGCGGCCCATATTGACGTAGTCATGAGCCAGGTTCCAGCCACACCACACTGACTGTCCGAATTAAGACAACATACCGAGAAGGACAGGCAGCTTCAGATAGTCATAGGCTTCATTAGGAATGGGTGGCCTGAGTATTTTGAGAAGGTCCCAGAAGAAGTCAGAGACTTTTACCAAGTGAGGGGAGAACTATCAGAAATAGATGGTTTAGTTATTAGAGGCTGCCGCATTGTAATTCCCAGGGAAATGAGAAAGATAATCTTGGAGAGAATCCATGATGGGCATCAGGGCCTAGTCCAGTGTAGG